CCACATTTTCTGTTATTGTCCTGTCCCCCCCCCCTCATTGAGTAATGGGCCTACTCTGTCCTTGGTCTTCCTCTTGCTTCTAATGTATTTGTAGACTGTTTTCTTGTTACCTTTTATGTCCCTGGCTAGTTTGATCTTGTTTTGTGCCTTGGCTTTTCTAATTTTCTCCCTAAATACTTGTGTTATTTGTTTATATTCATCCTTTGTAATTTGACTGAGTCTCCACTTTTTGAAGGACTCTTTTTTGAGTTTCAGATCATTGAATATCTCCTGGTTAAGCCAGGGTGGTTTCTTATCATACTTCCTATTTTTCCTACGCAGTGGGATAGTTTCTTCTTGTGCCCTTAATAATGTCTCTTTGAAAAACTGCCAACTGTCTTCAATTGTTTTTCCCCTTAGACTTGCTTCCCATTGAATTTTACCTACCAACTCCCCAACTTTGCTAAAGTCTGCCTTCTTGAAATCCATTGTCTTTATTGTGCTATTCTCCCTTCTACCATTCCTTAGAATCATGAACTCTACCATTTCATGATCACTTTCACCCAAGTTGCCTTCCACTTTCAAATTCTCAACCATTTCCTCCCTCTTTGTCAAAATAAAATCAAAATAACATGATGGGGGTCTAAATTAGCTGTTACCACTCAAAAAAAATATTTGGGAGTCATTGTGGACAGTTCTCGAAAATATCCATTCAATTTACAGTGACAGTCAAAAAAACTTACAGAATTTTGGGAATCATTAAGAAAGGACAGAATAGGACAGAAAATATCATATTGCCTCTTTATAAATCCATGATAGCCCACATCTTGAATACTGCATGCAGATGTGGTCACCCCATCTCTAAAAAGATATTCTGGAATTGGAAAAGGTTCAGAAAAGGGAAACACAATTTTTATGGAAGAGTTTCCGTATGAGGGGAGGTTAATAAGATTGGGACTTTTCAGCTTGGAAAGAGACAACTAAGGGCAGATATGACAGAAGTCTATAAAATCATAACTGGTTTGGAGAAAGCAAATAAGGAAATGTTCTTTACTCCTTCTCATAACACAAAAAGTAGGGGTCACCAAATGAAATTAATAGGCAGCAGGTTTAAAGGAAACAAAAAGAAGTATTTCTTCACACAACACACAGTCAACCTGTGGAACTCTTTGCCAGAGGATGTTGTGAAGGCCAAGACCATAACAGGGTTCCAAAAGAACTAGATAAATTCATGGAGGATAGGTCCATCAATGGCAATTAGCCAGGATGGGCAGGGATGGTGTCCCTAGCCTCTGTTTACCAGAAGCTGGGAATGGGCAACATGGGATGGATCACTTGATGATTACCTGTTCTGTTTATTCCCTCTGGAGCACCTGGCATTGGCCACTGTCAGAAGACAGAATACTGGTCTCGATGGACCTTTGGTCTCACCCATTATGGACAATCTTATGTACCATGATCAATGGAACTAAATTAAGAGGGTTCATGGTCCCTGGAAGTATTATTATTTATTGGGCACCAAGGGAATGGGAGTGTGGGAAGTAAGGCTGGAAACAACTCAGTCATATGGACAGAGCAGTACACCAGGTTTTAAAAAGTTCTATTTTTTTCAACTTAATCAGCATTCAGCTTTACTGTTTGCTAATGAAACCGGCTGGAAATGAGAAATTAAGACCTGGAGAAATCCTGGCCCCAAATGAAGTCAATGAGAGTTTCGCCATTGCCTTCAGTGAATCGAGGATTTTAATTTAAGAATCTAATCATTCCCTCTCACAATCTCCATTGACTTAAATAAAGCCCCAGGCTAGCAAAATACCTACTAGTGACTATATAATATCTGCAATAGCCCAAAAGCATTGCTAAGTGATATGGCTTCAGAGGATATACTCAGCTAAGGAAAATGTGTTTAGTTTTATTTTTTGAGCATATTTAAAATAATCTATTTAGTTAGGGAAAGTGAATTCTTATTGCATTCTGTATAAATTCCCCAGGAGAAAACAATATTTTTCTAAATAATTTAGGATGTTCTAAATGCTTCCAGAATGCTTTTGTAACATATTTTGTTCATTTGTGATTGGAAACTTTAAATTCCATTATTAACCTTTCCAGGGAGAGCCTGAAATACCACAAGAGAATCATAAACTAATATCAGTTTTGTATTAGGAGATGCAGCAATAACATTTTCACAAAATTATGCAAATTTATAAACAGCTTCACCAAAATAAGATTAGACTAGCCTCTACATTAGTATTTTGAAAATATTAAGGTAAAGATAATGTAAACAGCAGGAATGGCATTAAAAACTGGAATTTTGGTGGAACTAATATGTGAATTGAACACTTCTGATGTGGCAACAAAATAGTTCTTAAGCCTAGAAAAACAATTATTGTGTGGCCTGGCATGCAAACTTAACTGGAGACCTCAGCAACTGATCCTACAGAAAATAGCCTCTCTAGTCATTGGTTTGGGGAGCTCTATGAATCTCTTGTGCTTTGCAGTTGCATTAGTTCTACATTATTGCCACCTACCAGATTATCATAAATATACATTTGATCAAAAATATAAGATTGAAACTTACACAAACAAAAATAGCAAGCACAATTTAGAATGGCAGAAGACCATTGTGTGCGGTGCTTTTTCTATATATTATTTGATACTACATCCTGGTTTTGAGATCTAGGATTGGCAATGGATAACCTGGTGATCAGCTCTGACTAATTTGACCACTGAGATGACTTATAGTTCCAAT